GTCTATTCAGCCGTCAGCACCAGCCTTGTCGTCCCCTTCACAACCTGCAGCCAAGAGCTCGCAGACCACGGCGGCGCTGCATCCATCGACACCTCCGCCGCTCAAACCTCTTATGAGCAGGCATGCCACCGAGGTTGTTTCTCCCCAGCCGAGACGGGTGTCGAGGACGCCGCTGAGCCCCGTCACGTCCCCTCACCTTGCGCTGAGCCCCGGCATCAGCGCTGCGATCGCGCCGCCTTCTCCCGATCCACTCAAGAAGAATCAAGACTCTGCCGCGAAGCGACCGCCGACGCCGCCGAAGCCTCGAGGCAGTGGAAAGAATACACTCGATAAGGCTCAGATTCAAGACCAGGACAGGCCTAGGCTCCGAGACCGATCATATAGCAGTCATACAGATGGGTCGTCGTCCGGGCAGACGCGGAGCTCTGGAGCTTCCTCAGTGTCTCGGCTGGCCGAGCAGTCGACGCCCCTTTTCCACCAGCACGGGGAATCTCGTCCGTCTTCCATGGCCCTCGCTAGGAGGGCCTCAACAATGAGCGTCCCGTCAACTCCGTCAAGGGAGCTGGTCTCTCATCGGCACGCCGGCAACGGTTCGCCAAATCGAACACAACTAGACAATCTCACCGACGCAATCGTGGCCGGGTCACTGGCCTCTGCCCGATTGACGCCTCACCATTCGGGGCCTACCTCGCTGGCCCCTCCTCCTTTGCCGAAACGACAAAAGTCGCCTCGCCTTTTACACACACTCCGACAGCCGCATAACGTGCTCGACGAGGAGGAAGACCACCACAAGAAAGGCCACAGAGCGCTGCTGCGCAAGGGGAAACACGCACACCACGAAGGATCAAGGAAGAAATGGCGCGAGGAGATTCGGCCACGGGAGAGGAAGAGGTACGAGGCGCTGTGGGCGTCCAACCGCGGCATACTGCTGACGGACACGCGGGTGATGAGCCCGGCTACGAGCCTCAGCAGCGACCTCGACCGGGACGTCTCGCAGTGCGTGGCCAACGTCGTGGTCAGAGAGGTGTGGAAGCGGTCGAGGCTGCCCGATGACGAACTGGCCGAGATCTATGACCTGGTGGATCGAAGCCGGACGGGCATGCTGAGCAGGGCCGAGTTTGTGGTGGGGACGTGGCTCGTTGACCAGCGGCTCAAGGGGAGAAAGGTGCCGGCCAAGGTGACGGATAGTGTCTGGGGAAGCGCCAACGGGGTCAGGGTCAAGGGGCCGCATGGGAAGTGAGGGTGGTGATGAATTATCTTTCGGTGTGGGAAGAGT